ACCCCCCACAAAGGTTTGATCATAAGAAAAATATCTGTCCATCCATAAAAGTTATCCAAAGTAGGGTGATGGGATAGGTTGCAGTTACTGGATGAGAGGCAGGGTTGTTGGTCCATAGCAGGACGAACACGGAGACACAAGCTGCTGGTTTCTCAGTGTTTGTACAAATCTTCATGATCTGGTCATGAAGTCAATCATGGCTGATTCTTTAGACCCATAAACTAACCCTGTGCCTGTGACTGTTATCTCAGTGGAGCCAAATGTGATGTTCAGTTTGACTTCATGCTTCCTGCCTCGTGTAGTGGGCATTCTTACAATGAGTGAACCGACTTCCTCCACTCCCTCTTCATCCACATACAGAGGATTTCTTCTTTGTGTGCGATAAAACCTGATTCTTACGTGTGTGTGATATTCTTTAGCTTCCAGTACATTAAAGATGAGCTCTCTGGTTTCATTCCAGCCAACATCTTCACCTTTCTCCACAAGTTTTCTGAAAATATCTCCACAAAGTTCCTCTCCTTGGACTACAGATTTCTTTTCTTTCTTATGTTTGGACGGATCAAACTTGTCTGAATCTGCAAACCCGTACGTAAAGGCAGATTTTCGAGATGCCACCACTGCTGGGTTTCTTCCAAACTCCACAGCTCCCATCACGATCGCTTCCTGGGGCCTAAAAGGACACAGGACTTTACACTGATCACCAAACTGATCAATAACATGTCGCCGTAGAATCTGGCTTTCAGCGTAGCCCCCCACTAACAGAATGTACTTGATGTGTAGATGTTCCTTCAGGATTTTTCTGAGACTGTCAGTGATGCCCTTCAGACTCTCAGCAAAGAAAGACCTCAGTCTCTCTTTGGAGATATTGATGGATCCTTCATCCCAGGAAGCACCTCGCACTGATTCAAAGAACCTTTCTATTTCCTGTCTTTTCTGAGCCAGTCTTCCCAGATTAAATGGACACCCTATCTGAACATCATCATCTTTTCTTTTGAAAAGTGTGAACTCATACATTATCCTCTGAACCTCACTGGGAAAGTTTTCTTCATATTCATCCCAGACACCATGACTAAAGATTTCTCTGAGGAACTCTTTGAATTTCCTGTCCACACTTTGTCCCCCCAAATCATTTCCTGAGGCCTTGTGCAGCTCCTTCAGGGCTCCTCCATCCAGGACTTCATGAACTGTGATGTCGATGGTTCCACCTGAAACACACAGGAAGTGATGAATGCTGACTTCCTGCAGCAGCAGACAGATGTTTCCAGCGTGTCTGTGGATGAATGTTTGTGAGTGTAACAGAGTCACATACAGTACCTCCACAGTCCACCACTATGAACTGTGTTCCTGGACACTGATCCAGTGATCGTCCATCATGGTTCTGAGAGATGAAGCCATCAGCTGGCAGCTTCTTACACCAGGCTGAGGCTGCCTCTGGTTCCAGTGCGATGATCAGGTGGTGTTGAGTTCCTCCTATAACGATTCCTGCCTGCAAGTGAAAGAAAACTGAATCCTCTGAACACTTCAGGATCTCAGAGCTCTCTTAATAAATGATGTTACCTGAGTCGCAGCTTCTCTCATGAACTGCTTTGCTGAAGGATCCCAGATGGCAGGTACAGTAAGCACCCAGGTGAAGTCAGAGGCTATGAACTTCCTCCCTTCTGTGCTCTCTGCGATGGTTCTCAGAGCGTCATCCTTCACGTATCTCAGAGCTTCAGTGAACACCTTCAAGGCCTTCATTGACTTCCCGTTTGCAGCTTTAATCTCCACATCTCTGCTGAGTTTCTGAGATGATGGTAGTGTGGATACACACAGTTATCAGTTTAGTGTTATTAACCTTAAACCTTTGTGGACTAATGTCAGGTCGCAAACACGTAGATGTTTATCTGATGTCCCACAGAGCAGACAGGCTTCATTAGTTCAAAGTGTGAGACGGTCGTTAGAGATCTTCATGAGTCTGTTTGTTCCTCTGGTTCATTAAGTTTAGTCTCCACTGACGTTTATATGAATAACACAACCTATAATAACCTTTATGGTGTCGCTGCAGGCTGAATTCAAACATTAACACATCTGTGAGTCTTTTTCTTTCTGCACTAACAAAACTTTTACTGCAGCTTTCTAACATTTATCTGCTGAATCGGTGTTTTCAGCTCAGACGGTCTCTGTGTGGACTGAATGGACTCTTCAGTGGAGTTTTTATGACAGACATGTTCAACCGTCTCATTCACATGCATGTAATCTTCAGCAGAATATTATGGTTCAGTGATTTTTACTTACTTTTCCATAGAGCGCCATCTTGAAGTTTTCAAAGAAGTAGCTTTTCCTTGCTTCTTCTCCTCGCATTTTGACATACGCATTTTTAGCTTCATAACCAAACTTGATAAATTCTTTGTCTTTATTGAACAGAATGCAGGTTGGAGTCTTTGGAGTGTACAGTCCGAGTTCATTACCCCACCTCCTCATGTAGGGATTTATTTCTGCCCGTTTAGATGTCATACTGAAGGCATATCCACTGTATGCAGTGCCAAAGTCTATGGCTATGATATAGTCATGCATTGTAGAAACTGGTCCAACAAGTCAAGGAGAGGAGAGCAGTCAGAATGAACAACAGTCACTGTGGATTTATTGTTTTTCTTCCTGTAAGCCCCGCCCCCTGTTCTTGTTTCACTTTGTTTTTCTTCACTCATTTCTTTCAAGTTTGTCTTTGTATAAAACGTCAAACGATCGAATGTGTAAAACTGACATTTCTTATTATTTGTTGTGAAAATTCATACGAGAGCATCGGAGATGTTTGGAAGTGAAATCTCTTCATCCTTCAGTGTCTTTAATGGTGCATTTGTGGTTTCACTGTGCTGTTCATGATTCACAACAAACAATATTTAGTGCCAAAGCAGGACCAAAATACACAGGTGGAGGGCTCATAGTGACGAAAGCTCGACTTACAGACTCAGCTGATATTGTGTACTGTTATTATAAAATGTGTAAATAATGAAAAACAAAGCTACTGCACTCTGACCATGTTTGTCTGAACTGAAACAGGCTGTGAACTAAAACTTGGCAAAGAGAACAATGTTTAACGAGGAAGTGCTCAGATAATCTAACCTTAATCTAAAGGCTCTGACTTTTACATCAAGATATTAGATTCAGTCGTGTAGAAAGTTTTATATGTAAAAATATCTGCTCCTCTCTGGTTACTCTGGTGTGAATGACTCTGAATTAGTTTATGATAAATAACACACTATTGGCAAAAAAAACAGTGAAAGAATTCAGATCAGAAGCTTTAGTTCAACATACAAGTGACGACCTTTGATCTTCGGGTTTTATTTACTTGTGTCAGAGAAAACATCATGTGCTCTTCATGCAGCTGAAGCTGTGCAGGTCTGAGATCAGCAGCTTTCTGAAACCCCAAACTGAGGTCCTGTTTCTGCCCCTGAGTGTAACGAGCAGCAGGTGGATGAGGATCTATATACTCGAGTACCTGGGCTGGCTGAGCTTTTGACTCTGACCTTCATTGATAGCATCGTTAGAACTTTCTTTCTTTGAGCTCTTTAAACAGAATTTCTTTAATACAACATTATTGCCTGGGTACCTGGGTCGTTGACCCGGTGTTTCCAGTTTTGTTACTGTTTAGTTTACTATGTATATTTTCTGCTTTATCCGGTCTTTAAGTCTGATGTCATTAGCCGTGCCTGGGCCCAAACTCTGCCTCAGGTCCCAAAGTCAAACGAACACTGCGTCATCACTGAGAGTTACAAACTGTCTAAATTCTTTCATCTTTAATGAAATGATCAGCATTGCTGCTTTACCAGGTGTAACAATTAAGTTTAACATCCATAAAAACAGAATTGATTTATTAAATTTAACAGAGTTAGAAATTAGCAGGAGGTTAGCTCGCTAGCTTCCACCTAAACCTGATATAGCATGTTCTGACTGAGAACATGGCATATCATGTGTTCTGTTCTTGTGTTTGGGAGTGCTTCAGGTCTGGAGCCAGTCTCCTTCTTTCTTCTACTTTGTATTACTGTCTGAATTACCACTGAAGTAAAGTCCTACAATTTACTTGTGTGTTATTCTGTGTCAGTGAGAATCTGGATAAGACTTGATTGTCCAGACCAGCTCGGCCTCTTAGTGCAGTTGGACTCTCCTTACTACCTTGGTGGCCTTTTCTATTACAGCTCAGTAATAATGTGGTAATAGTGCAGTGATAAAGTGGAAACAAGAAGGTAATAATTTGGACAACAGCATGGTATTATCGTTACATAAATAATGTCCTAGTAAAACGACAGCTGGGTAATATTACATTCATATAACCAAGTAATAATAGAGCAGAAACTGTAGTAATAATGTAGGATCAAGTGTATCCATATGAGGAAAAACCAATGATCAACAGTATAGAAATGTATTAATAACAATATAAAAACCTAGTGGCAATAAAATGTTGACATCTGTGCATTAGAAGTGCTACACACTAACTTTTAGTGTGTGACTGACGCCTGTTATGTCATTAAACCTTATGTTCCTCCATCCTTCTTTATGTCCTACAGTTTAAACCTGGTGTTAGTAGGTCACCTTTGTGTTTGTTTGTTTTCTTAACTTTTGTTCAGGTTTTTTTGTTTTATGTCGCTTTTTTTCGGTTTTTTTCTTTTATTTCGTTCTTTGTGTCTTTGTTTCCTTTTTTATGTTTTTTTTGTCTTTATTTTGTTCTTGATGTTTTTTTTGTGTCTACCGTGTCCATACAGTTTTTCTGCTGTGTGCAGCAAGCAGAGTGGTGTTGAGCCGGGGGAACTGGGTCGGGCGGGGAGGTTTTGGGGACACCTGTGGGTGTCTCCTTTTTCTTCTGTGTGTGTTATCCTGTGCGGCGTTTGCGGGGGTAGCAGTAGCTCAGAAGCTGCCGGTGTTGGTGGATGCTCATCTGCAGACTGAAGTTACAGCAGCGGACCAGCAGTGGGCGCATTAACCTCAGATCAGATGGTGGGGGAAACAGGAAGTGCAGAACAGGTTTATTTTGAAGAGTAGGAACGGTTCTCTTGAGGCTGGGTTCAGTTTTTCCTCAGGGTGTGAAACCTCCCTGAGAACCAGACAGGTCTTATTTTCAGAGCACATCAATGCCTCATCAACAGGTTCAAAGAAGTGGATTAAGAGTCAGTCAGACATTTGTTGAACAATTTTAGTAACTTCCTGTTGTGTTTTTGTAACAGTTTCACTTTATTAGAGACACACATGGGTAGCAAATAAAAAAATAAATACATGACAAAGAAAAGACAATTTAAAACATATTCCACAGTGTCACACATTTACATAGAGGCTGGAACACCAGTGGCTCCATAACTGTGCAGGGTCAGTCAGAGATGCAATTATACTGTTTCTGGAGTGTTTTACCCTACACCCTACTCATTTTATTTTTTTTTTTAAATAAAAAAATTTTCTGCTGATTTTCAGTCAAATTTTAAAGGTTTTCTGATTTAGTGGAGGTTAAACTGAAAATAGAGGTTGTATTTATTTCATATAAGTATAAGCAGTTAAGAGTTTGAATCTGATGATTATATCTGTTAAATTCACGTTAGTATTATTGTCAGACCACGTGGTTTGTACTGGGAGGTGTCGGTGCTTTTATTTTGAAGGCTGTGACCGGATGTTTCGGGGGGTGTTTTAGTTTGACAGTCTGGTTGAGGCCGCAGAAAAACTGAGCGCAGCTTCGTCTCTGCGGATTTTCGCCTTCTGCGGCACAAACCTGCGGCTGCACCCGGACAGACACCCGAGATCACAGTCCGAACCGGACCGAGCCGAACAGAGCCGAGCCGGGACCGAACACACACAGACGGCCTCGTCTCCTCCCGCAGAGCCGAGCCAGCCTCCGTCACCGGTAAGAACCGTTTTATCTGACCGACCGCTGAGTATGTGCGTGTGTGCTTGTGTGCGTGTGTAAGAGAGAGAGAGAGCGTGTGTGTGCGCGCGCGCCACTCCCCTCCAGTCTCAGCTGTAAAAGCGCCGTTAAACGTACCTGCGGACAAACATACAGGTGATGTACAGCGGCGGCCACGTGACCTCTGTATGACGTGATGGTATATATGCCGTGTGTGTGACCTTCATCATGCGTGTATAACGCACCTGTCATGACCTGCCGCACACACGCACACTGAGCTGTGTCCGTGTGTGTGGTTTACTGTGAGCTGATGCAGATGTTACAGATGTGTGTGTGTGTGTGCGCACTGTGGAACATCTCCTGCAGGTTTTTGTATGAATGATAAAGCTGCTGCACACGCTCATGTGACACTTCATTAGGTACACCTGGCTCGCTGTCAGGGCGGAGCCTTTCTCCTTCAGAGCTGCTCTAGTTCTGTGGCTCAGATTCAGGAAGCTGTTGGAAATGTTGTGACATCATCACACAGCTGTTGCTCCCATGATGACATCTCCCACTCCACCACCTGAGATCTGTGACCGTGGAGTGAACCAGTTTCACCCCACAGTGTCACAGCAGGAGCCTGGTGGAGCCGTGCTTTCATGTTTACTCAAAACTCTGTCAGTCTAAAACAGTTTGACCTCTGACCTCAGTAGGACATGTCTGCTGCTCTGTGATTGGCTGATTAGATATTTGTGTTAATGAGCAGGTGTACCTAATGAAGAGGCAGATGAGTGTACATGT